TGCCCCTTTCATTTGCTTAATGCTTTCACTGTATGCACATCGCCAGCTCGTCTATTGTTTTACATTCAAATGTTGTCACCTCGATAAGCCGCGGAGATGGAGCCTCCCGGTTGTCAACGTGGGGCTTGGTGGGGGGTTACAAACATTTTTTAGGAGGACCATTGCCCGAAACGTCGCCTATCATATCTGTTTTCCTTGTTTAAGGCCACACACACGGCGGTGTTGTTGTTATTGACGACTGTGATGTTTGTTGTTTGCGCACCACTGCCAACGCAGGGCCACACAAACGAATCAAGGATTATGATTGGCTCATACAGGAGAGCCCTAGATCTTGTTTGCAGGAGGGTCCTGCCGCTACATTCCGTGTTTATATTTTTTATTCTAAGATGTTTTCAGACCTTTAACGACGAGTTCTTTATATATACAAGTGGGAGCAGGACACCGGATCACCGTGGACGTCACGGTGGCTACGAGATGTTGACTACCTCGCCTGGTGTACACGAGGTCGTGGGTTTGATCCCGACCCTGGCGCCTGCTGCTGCTGCTGTGTATTTGGAGTTTGCGGTGTCTCTCGTCCCATGGTCGCGTGGATTTTTCTCCAGGTCCTCCCCCGCCCCATCCCCACATTTAGAATGAACGTCACGTTTAGAGTATTTGGCTACTGCTCTAAACTTCCACGTGACAATAAGCCACCTCGTTCAGCTTTCATTTGTGGCCCAGTCACTTTTGAAAAAGAGCCAAATAGCTCAGTCGGCCTTACCTGGTAAAATGTAAATAAGTTTAGTAAAATCCGTACCTTGCGAGAGGTGGCAACGCTCCACCCCCGTACAGATGGCAACAGATGGCGATTAGTCCCCTCGCTGTGCCGCCTTCTCCTGGCACGGCTCCTCCTCGACGCCCACGGGCAAGGCAGTTTCACAGCCCATCAGTGCGTGATCCATCAACCCTCGCCGCTGGCTCCACAGCGCTAGATCACAGCAGGCGTGCGGAGGGGAGGGTTCTGTCTGGGAGAGGGACACGGGGATCAGTTGGACGTGCATCGTGGAGATGGAACGATGGAATCGGCTCGCGTTGGGGGCGTTGCATGGCGTGACCCTGAGAGAAAACACCGCGCTGCTGCTGTACACGAGGAGGGGCGGGGGGCATCGCTGGCCGCACCTCGCAGCCTCGCGCCTACAACACCCGGCAAGCCCCGGCAGTAGTAGTGGTGGCGGTGGCCACCCGTACAAGTGACTACCAGGCTCAAATCCCTGCTTAGCTTCCGAGATGCGATGCGTTCAGAGCGAACTTGGTCACACCCCGAACGCGTGTAGGGAATAGATAACCCATCCCACGTGGCCCCCCTCCACTCCATCCTCCACCCCTCCCCCCTTCTGCCTCACCCCCCCTCCCAGCCCCGCCCCTTGAGCGCGCAATACAAACCTCAGGGGGACCCAAACACAACCAGAGCGGGGTTCAAACAGCCGCCTTTGTCTCTCGCCATCGCGGTTTGCACAAGGGGCGTCCGTGTATCCCTTACTCTCGTCGTCACCACCGCCGCTACTATCAATAATGCCACCATCACCATCATCACCACTACCATCATCACCACTACCATCATCACCACTACCATCATCACCACCATCATCACCACCATCATCACCACCATCATCACCACCATCATCACCTTCATCACCACCATCACCATCATCACCACCATCACCATCATCACCATCACCACCACCATCATCACCACCATCACCACCACCATCATCACCATCACCACCATCACCACCATCATCACCATCATGACCACCATCACCATCATCACCACTACCATCATCACCACCATCACCATCATCACCATCACCACCATCACCACCATCATCACCATCATGACCACCATCACCATCATCACCACCATCACCACCACTATCATCACCATCACCACCACCATCATCACCACCATCACCACCACCATCACCACCATCACCACCACCACCATCATCACCACCATCATCACCACCATCACCACCACCACCATCATCACCACCATCACCACCACCACCATCACCACCACCACCATCATCACCACCATCATCACCACCATCACCACCACCATCATCACCATCATCACCACCACCATCACCACCACTATCATCACCATCATCACCACCACCACCACCACCATCATCACCATCATCACCACCACCATCATCACCACCACCATCACCACCACCATCATCAGCACCATCGCCACCATCATCACAATCACATAATTGTAACTAATACCACCATCGTTACAAATCAAAGGTCTCCCGTATGAATATAATCATCGGTATTCCCCTTTTTTCTGGCAACAAAACTGAAACCCTCCAGCCCCCCCCCCATCTCTCCTCCCCCGCCCCTCCCATTCTCTCCCCCCCGCCCCTTCAATCTCCCCCTCGCCCCCCCATTCTCTCCCCCCCCTCCCCCTCAATCTCCCCCTCGCCCCCCCAATCTCCCCCCCCGCCCCCCCCATTCTCTTCCCCTCGCCCCCCCAATCTCCCCCCCGCCCCCCCCCCCATTCTCTCCCCCCCCGCCCCCTCAATCTCCCCCTCGCCCCCCCAATCTCCCCCTCGCCCCCCCAATCTCCCCCTCGCCCCCGCCCATTCTCTCCCCCCCGCCCCCTCAATCTCCCCCTCGCCCCCCCCCCCCATTCTCTCCCCCCCGCCCCCTCAATCTTCCCCTCGCCCCCCCAATCTCCCCCCCCCGCCCCCCCCATTCTCTCCCCCTCGCCCCCCCAATCTCCCCCCCCCTCCCCCCCAAGCTCTCCCTCGCCCCCCATCTCTCTCCCCAGCCCCCCCGCCCAATCTCTCCCCCCCCCACGCCCCCCCTATATAATTGTAAGGACAGTACTGGGTGATGTAGGGACAGTCCGGCTCCCCGGGACCCATGGTTATTAATGAACGTACCGGGAACAGAGAGCGTCACGAACGGGTAACGTGGGACCTGAATGGTCGCTGATGATGATTGATGGGACAAGCGTTGACAGGGTCGCGTGTGGAGAAGCACGGCACCCCACGGTCGTGAATGGTAATCAGAGCAGAGGGAGACAGGGCCAGGTGCGGTGAGCGAGAGTTGGGGAATAGGAGCGGGTGGTCTTCATCGTCCTGGAGTGAGCGCCTCGTTGTCTTGAAGGGCTGGAGTTGGCGTCGTCCCAGAATAGAGTCGTCCAAGTTACCCAAGTGTACAGAGTCACTCGCGGTTACTCGTGAAGTTGTCAGTGGACTTTATTTGTAATAAATATACCGAGAACAAGACGGTGTCTCTGAGAGCTACGTTACATAATGATGAGCGATTGGCTCTGTGCGGGAGGACACGGAGAACAGGCAGCACGTTGCGTACGAGCGGGGGGGGAGACAGTACGAGGGGGGGAGACAGTTCCGCACAGATGGGTACACGAACCCAACACTTTCTGTACTGCCATCTCTTGACCACCACCTCGCAGTCTCGGAGGCTTTGGGAGTTTAATTTTTTTACAAATCTATGCGTGATCCACCAACCCTCTCCTCCCAAAGTTATGCTCACACTGACGGGGATAACGTCTGGGCATGCGTCGCTGATGAGCCCCAGTGATCACGATGACACGCACAACCCTCTGGGGATATCTTCTGGGCAGCCCAAAATCTGGGCATGGCTAACCGATGAGTCCCGACGCAGAGGAAGACTCCGGTCGTCACGGTGGTGGCGAGTGGCTCTCCCCCGCCTGTCTGCTCTGAGCTCCACCCGCTGCGTCTCATTGCGCACGATGTCCGAAGTTTCGCTTCACGTGCTGGGAGCTTAATCAGGAACATCAGGAACTGGATTTTCATCTTATATATTTCTGAAGATGCTCGGAGCAGGTGGAGAGGGAGCAAAATTTTGAAAACCGTGCTCGGTACAACCCTAAAACACACCGGACAACTCGTCAAATCTATAAAAAAAACAACCTCCGATTGGCCCGGTTGGCTACGTACGGTGCGAAAGAAGTTAAACTTACATCCATACTATTGGATCTGCTTGGCATTCCGTACGTATGGGCAGATCTCACTGATGAGCTCCAATGATCAAGGACACCGCTAACAACACGACCGGAACTGCTTGGCAATGTCTGGGCCCGGCTCACTGATCAGTCCCACAAAGAGGTGACGACGATTCCGCTCACTAAAACAAAACCCTGAGTGACCTTCGTCTCTAACGATGGTTGGGGGGTGACTTTGGGCCAAACCCGCACACTCCCGTGAAGGGGGGGGGGGGGGTGAATAGGGGTAGGAGGGGAGGGGTGGGGGTAGGAGGTGAGGGGTGGGGGTAGGAGGGGAGGAGTGGGGTAGGAGGGGAGGGGTGTGAGGTAGGAGGGGTAGGGTTTGGAGGGGAGGGGTGGGGGGAGTCTACCCACACCGCCCGCTACTCCATTATTTTACAGCCGTTAATGACTTAACTCGCGCCGCGGCATCGCTGCCAACACAATCACAGATCGTGCGATTGGCTCCGCGTCTATCCTCTTACCCCCCCCCCCCTCCGGCCCAGCGCGTCCCGGTGGGGATTGAGTGGAGGAGAGGGCGGGGTGAGTGCGCTGTGTGGGTGGGCAGGTGCGGGTGTCTCTGTGCAGGTGTTGAGTATAAAAGCGAGGGGCGCCTCGCTGGTACCAGATGTCTTCTCGTCTCAATCAGCAACAACAACATCAGAAGAACTATCATCAGCAACATCATTAGCAACATCATCTCAGCATCAGCAACATTATCAAGCGACGTGGATAGTTTTGAACGAGACACTGGCCACGCGAGTTGTCGTCACTGTCGCCGCAGTGATTGCTGTGATTAGGAGGAGGAGGAGTGCTTTAAATTGGGTGTTGGATGGTGACACCTGTGGCTCAGCTCGAGTGCAGTTCTATGAGACACACACACGCACGCACACACACGTCGACACACACAGACACACGCACGCACACACACGCACACCTGTATAGGCACGCACGCACGGATAGACAACACAAAGGCAAAGCTTCCCCCGTCTAGCCTGACGACGTCGGCTGTTGGGGGCAAGTGCTGTTAGCGAGCGCATGTTCGCGAGAACACGCGCGGCCATGCGTGCTGCGGAATGGCTCTCAGCTGCTCATCATCATCATCATCCTCACCATCGTCGTCGTCATCTGCGCACGACGCCCACGATACCGAAGCTGATGATGACGCTGCAGCTGATGACGTTGCTGCTGATGATGTTGATGATCTCGGGCAACGAGGCCAATGCCGCCACTGCGCGTGGCCCGGCAGCCGCGATCGAGGGGGGCTTCTCGACGCGAGGGGGGCAACTGGGGTCCATCCACGCAGTGGCCGCAGCCACCACCACCACCACAACCACCACCACCAGCATCACCACCGCAGCAGCAACAACAACAACAACCACCGCGATGAACCGGGCGCCGAGAGCCGGAGGAGCATCCGACCCTCATCAGGCGACGGCCGCGCCTCACGAGCCCCCCACGAATGAAGACTCGAACGGAGCGGGGGGCTCGGGCACTCACCCCACCCAGGACCCCTCGTGCGGCGCCCACGGCAGTGGCGGACACGCGAGGCCCACGGGCTACCAGGTGGTGTCGTTCCAGTGGGAGCACGTCAAGGACCCCTACATCATCGCCGTGTGGATCCTCGTGGCCAGCGTAGCCAAGATCCGTGAGTAGTCCACAGTGCGTGTGTCCGCAGGGGGGGGGGGGATTGAGAGAGGGGGGGTGAGAGATGGAGAGAGGGGGGGGAGAGATGGAGGGGGGGTGGAGATTGAGAGGGGGGGGGATTGAGAGGGGGTGGGAGATGGAGAGAGGGGGGAGAGATGGAGTGAGTGAGTGTGGAGAAGAGAGAGAGAGCGTCGTGGTGATTTTGTCGGGGCGAGAGGGCGATGGATGTTCAAAAAGTGCGGCCGCCAGAGTAAACACCTCGTACCAACTCGTACCAACTCGTACCAACTCGTACCAACTCGTACCAACTCGTACCACCTCGTACCAACTCGTACCACCTCGTACCAACTCGTACACGCGACACTTGAAGGTTCGTGACGGCCGCCACCCGCGCGTGCTCCTGCCCCTTCACTGGCGCCCTGTCCGGGCCCCGTGTTCATTTGACGATTCTCTTGTCTTGCATGAACTTGCTCCTCCCCATGCATTCGTGACCTCCTTCAGCCACGGATATCTCATTCAAATCCTCAGATTGTGCATCGCTTGCTGTCCCACGGTCTCTAAGGCTTCACACTTGGGGGTGGTGATCGTTGTCGTTGCAATTGCGGCAACTAAACTCTGTGACTCGTTGCCCCTTCGAGGTCAGGGGGCTTCCGAGACGCTGCACATCTTCAAATGTCGACTAAGAACATGACTGTTTAAAATGGCTTTGTCTCCCATCTTTCCTTGGTTGATGTTTAACCTTTTCCTGCCCTTTCATGCATAGCGCCCTGAAAATTATTATTATAAATGTTAACTTATTATGTATGAAAGAGTGTAATATCCAGTTCGTCCCGGCCACAGCCGTGCCCTCTCTTCTCTATGCTTGCGAAATCTGGACACCTCCTGAAGGAACTTCCTCGCCGGTTTGAAGCATTTTCAGGCTACCCTGCCCACGCTCCATCCTGGGTCTCACCCAGGCTGGATTGTGTGAGGAGCTTGCAAATCATTCAACGATCTGGACATAGTCCCATCATTAGTGAACTCCTCCGGCATGCGAAAATGTGTTGGCAGGCGCATGTGGCATACATGCCCCAGCCATCGCTTGCCCAAAAGCAGCTTCTGTTTAGCCGGATAGAGGGGGTTAAACGGGCGCGGCACGGGCTAGAGTAGAGATTGATTAATGTGGTACAGGAGGACGTGGAGCTGAGTGGACTTGCCGATGACCGGTACCAGCGGTGTCAAGATCGGCCTCTGTGGAGGAGGCTCGTGAAAGACGCTACTGCTGTTACTGGGCAGTTGGAGGCAGTCGCCCTCCAACAACAACGGAGGGCGGAGGAGCGACGCTCACAACAACGAGCGGAGCGCCGGGTGGCTAAAGCACAGCAGGTTGGCACAGTAGGGGGCACAGGTGGTGCATCTGCCAGCCAATCTCAGTCGGTCACACCATGGCACCTGCTGGGTCTGTCCCGTGATCTCCTGCCAGCAGCGAGCCTTCGACACTTGACGTGGCCTCAAGGTGCACCTCGCCTGGCGCAAGCGAATGTCGCCGGTTGTCGGTGCTGTCGTTCGTTCGTGAGAGAGAGAGGGGAGATGGAGGGTGCAAGAGAGATTGTGAGAGGGGAGAGAGAGAGTCGTGGGGCGCCACGGTGGCGAGATGTGAATCCCCTCGCCTGGTGTACAGGAAGTCGTGGGTTCGAACCCTGACGCCTGCTGCTGCTGCTGTATATTTAGAGTTTACGTGTCTCTCTCCCCGTGGTAGCGTGAATTTGTCTCCGGGTCCTTCGGGGTTTCCCTCCACATGCTTAAAATTAACATTCGTTTAGAGTATTTGGCTGCTATCAACTTCAAATTGCTTGAGTTTAATTTGTGGCCAGGCCGCTTCTGAAAAAGAGCTCCATAGGCTCAAGTGGGACCTCAGCTGGTAAAATAAACTAAAAAAAATAGTTTTTATTTTGTAGAATGGTTGCCCCGAGCAGAATCGAGAACCCCAGGCGGCCAGGTGAAGACCGCACCACGTGACGTCCGGAGACACGCCACTCGCATTGAGCGAGGTCCTCACCGAGGGGGCAGCGGCGGGAACACGACGGCTGCGTGCGTACCTGGGCTGGACTCCCTTTGGGTACACTTAGCCTGAAACAAAATGTCCCCTGTCTCGTATTTTGATGCCTTTTTTGTGGTCGCCCTGGGAGCTGTATGGGGTCCGTGCGGGGTCCTAATGGGGGTTTATATTGTTATTTTTATTTTCCATGGGCTCCGGGGTCTTCTGTTCTGTCCCCGGGGTAAAGTCCTAGAGACGTTATCGATAGGGCAGTCCCATTTCACCATGGCTGCACTGTCTGTGGTACCGGGGGAGATGCGCTGTGGGGCAATGGTCCGCACGCTGGACCTTAATTCCAGAGGTCGCCTGCCTGTCCACTCCATCTCCCCGGCGCGCCATTTGAAACGAAAACATTGCAAGACGGTCGCTTGTGTTGCAATCGAAACGTCGTAATCTATTCATTTTCTATTTACGCGACTTTACCGAAAGAACCAAAGAGTATGGATTCCCGCAGCCACGGAAGCTTCAAATCAAAGATTAAACCAGCGCAAGTTCTTGGAATCTCATCCGCCACCATCTCCTCTGCCAGACAGACAGACAATCTAATTGGGTGGGACGGAGCCAGGGAGTTTATGTCGATGAGACGCCAGTGGGCAATTGCAGGACCGCGACTACTAACGGGTTCTTTGTTTTTATTATTGCGACGAGTGAAATACGATAATACCGAGGCAGACCGAGGAGCCCACGGAGCAGAGAACACGCGGCGCTCGAGACATCGTCCTCGTGACCTTCATCCAGCAGTAGATAGACGCTGACGATGAGAGAGATGCACGCGCGAGGGGTTGTCTTGAGAGAGAGGGGATGGAGGGGCGCGCCACCGCCGCCGCGTGTTTGTGGGGACGCCCCTCGTGGTGCCAACTTGGTCAACGCGAGCGTGGCACGAGGCAGGAGGCGTCGCGGCCCGGCGAGGGGACGCTGGAGGGAGGCCCCCGGGGGTCGAGGCCGGGCGACGGAGCGGCAGCACGAGGAGCGGAGAGCGCGCCCGAGAGGAGGCGCGCCGGGGAGATGGAGCGGCGCGCGTGTGTGCAGGGGATAGAGAGAGAGACGTGGAGCGTGGAATCGCGAGATGTATTGAGATGGCGATGGCTTGGTGGAGAACTTCATCCAGCAGTGGAGAGAGACTGGGGGAGACCATCCAGCAGTGGATAGATGACTCGTGGTCACTTCAGCATGACTGCTATCGGTGTACCACCATAACCACCGCCATCGTTACCACCACGTCATTGTCTGTATCACTGCTGGATGAAGACGTCCCATGCATGCCGTGGTGAGCTGTTGGCCATACTTCACCGCGCGGGGCAGAGTGGCTTGGTGAGCGGGGGAGATTGGCGGTGTGGGACGCGCAGCGGGACGGCTATCCAGGGCCGCTTCACAGCTCTCACTTGCCACTGATGTTCGCCGTGAGCGAGAACGGATCGCGCCCGGGTTCGTAGCGAGCGGCGATTGCGCTCGCCACGAGCGCCACCGCTCCCCCACCGCGCTGCGCTGTGGTGGGGGGGGGGGGGACCTGCAACTTGGGTGAGGAGCGGTGGCGCAGTGGTTAGCGCGGTGGGTGTGGACTTGCTGGAGTGTGACGTAATTCCATAATCCGTCACCCCCCATTGTTCACCCATATTACGTAATCGCATTTACATCTCTCTACAAATAGCCGGCGGCGGGCGAGAAACGGGGTTGGGTTGCTGCGTTCGTTAAAAAAAGAAATTTGAAACTGATTTAAAAATGTTTTAATTCATAGCTCCCGCAGTAACTTTCCAGTCGGTGGTGGTGACGCGCGCGAGGGTGCTGGGGTAAAAGCGAAGGAGCGGAGTGGGGGGGGGGTCGTGAGGAACAGGAACCATCACGCAGGCGACCTCGCAAAGTCTCGGTTCGATCACCCAGGGTCCTGGTGAATGTGAGACGGCTGGGTAATCGGCACGGCGGATAACGCGACACGTCCGCCGATAATTCTTAGAATGAAACTTATTTGCATAGCAGCTGACGTTTGGGGGAATGTCCCTTCTTCAAAGCGCGCGCACAGATAGCATAGAGGTATAGACACTACCCCTCTGGCCTATGTGCTGCGAAGAAGCGCCATTGCCCGAAACGTCATCTCCTGTTATATACTTTATCCCAGTTTAAAGGCCACACACAGAGTGTTGTTGACACGGGATGTGAGTTGCCTTTGTTGTCACTGACTCTGCGTGTCCACCAACGCAGCAGCAGCAGCAGCATCGCCAAACAATAATTTGCGTTTTAAATGACCGTGCAGACAAACTGATGGGAGCTTTGCATTTGTCTGTGCGGTAGCAATTCGACCGCAGCGCGCACCCCACGTGAACACTGTCCACTGGATCTGTGTTTGTTGTTATTGTTGTTGTCATTATTGTTGTTGCCCAGGTAGGCCTCGCCAAGTTTCAAGACTCTTTCAGGAGGGTCCTGTCAGGTTTTTTCCGCAGCAGATTTGCGATGCTGCTGCTGCTATTCTGCTGTCGAGTGTCGCGTCATCCCAATTGAGGGATTTTTCGGTGTGATTGTTTTTTTCTTCTCAAAATTTGGAAGGGAATGAATAACTGCAAAAGATTGCTACAGTGATGCCGGCACACAACTCGTGCCAATGACGTCGCTGGGTCTTTAACGTTTCGCTGTGACGCTTTTGGCGCATAGTGTTTGTAGGGTGAAGAGACACCGAATTGTCTGACTTGTATTATTTTACCAGATAAAGCCCCACTGAGCGATTTAGCTCTTTTTTTTCTTTCCAGAAGAGACCTGGTTATCTCAAATGATAGCTCTGAGAAGTGGCTGATCACGTGCACGTTTATAGCAGTAGCCACCAAATAATCTAAACCGGGGTGCGATATGCCCTCTCTGGGGGTAGCGAGACATGGCCCACCACCACCGACACAGCCAACTAGTAAGGGTTGTCACGTCAACAGAACGTGGCCAAT